ATATATATTTAAGTGACTTATTCACACATACCTTCGTATATAGTAAATATGAATGGGATTCTTTCATTAAAATCATTTATTGATATTACAAGGATCTCTAAACTACATTGCCCATATAGATATGTCGTAATTTACATCTGGTTGCCTGAGTCTGTAATGTGTGACGATGTGCGATTAATTTATATATTTTTAGTTGTTGTTTTTAGTTAATGTCAAAAAAAATATTATGTATGGCTCTTTATTCCTTTTAAAGGCTGAATTTCGAAAAATGCATCGGTAATTCTTTCTTAATATTATAGATTAATAATTACATTTTCTTCTATAATGTGACACACTTGGGATATATAATATATATGTCATTGTAATAATATTAATAATTCAGCCCATTTCAACATCTCCCATGCTAGATCTGAGATGTCCTCAATGCGAGGAGGATATAACAATAGTCCATGAATCATCTGGCCAAACACTGGTTGACAAACTTCAGACTTCTTCCGAAAACTAGTTAGAATTTTTCAGGTATGTAAATTTTCTTAACGATATTGGGAAGTGGATATGATATTAGCACATGAATATCTCAGAGGTGCGAAACTCGAATTTGAACCTGTTTCACTTAGCTTAGCCAATTGAGCACGTTACCACTATCATCTGCTATCACTGTGTTCGTTAATTGTAAAAATATTTAACTCCAACAGACGCGCTACGTAACATATACTACAGACTATAACCTACAAATTTATTGATCTAATAGCTACAGCTCGCAATGTTAAGTCCAAACAGCAATTATGTACTGGTCGAGGTCTAATCCTGTACTGCGATAGTGTTTTGTAGCAAGTAGAACCTAGTAAATCTTCCGTTTACTAATTAGATTTGAGCAGAAACAAACTTTTATATAGAAAATCTAGACTGTGAGTCTATATATCTATTTTAAAGTTTTGTCCTATAAAATACACCAAAGATTTGTCTACTACTTGGTTATAGTGCATTGTTTTAACTACATATTAATTGGATCGATACCTGTTAAATCTTCCAAATGTAATTTTGCATAAAAGTATAATCATACACGTTTTCGTTTTTTGTTAAAAAAAGTAATGCAAATTGTCCAATAACTTAATTTACTTTCCACATTCGTGACAAGCATTTTTAGTATTTCTACCGTTTCTTTATCTTTAAAGCCCTTTTTTATGTACAATTTATTGAATGTTTAAAAAAAAGTATGTAACAAGGTCCGTCGTGGGTTCAAACGTAAAACTCTCGGGTAGGAATTCTAGTAGAGAATTTTGTATATATTAGGTATAACTTGGATATTATTACAAGTATTGTAAATAGTTGCAATATGTTTTCAATAAAAAAAAACTCTTAAAATTTGAAAGGTATCGTTTTATTCCAATTGACCACACAACTCATATGGAGTCCCTAAGCAAAGCTAGTATTTATATATTAAAGACAGACGTGTCGTAGTTGCTGTATATGGCATGTTACGTAGCACTAAAGCTTAGGAATTTGATACAAAAGGTATTTCAAACAAAAGAGTACGGATTATGGTCGTAAGGATCGATGTAAGCCCGTTGCGGGCCACTTGATATCATAACAGCGCTCTATTTCGCATTTGTATCACAGAAATGATTGAAATTGTATATACAAGCGTTTTCCGATACATTGGCTATACGATCAAATTTACTTTGCTGCGGCGTCGGCGCGGGAGGTGGCAGTGCTTTTTGAGTGCTGATTTCATTCAACTTACTTTAATGTTAGTTATTTAAACATGTAACTAACTAATCTTTAGAAGCGTCGGCCGCTGGATCAGTAATAAGGCCAGTTGGAAGAAAAATAACATCATGTAGGATGAAATGAAGTGACTTATTATTTTCAACGGTATTTCATGTACCATATTTATATTATAATAACAACTGCTTATTTTTTTATATTTGAAGGAAAATGATATTTCATATAGAGTAAAGCATTTGCATTCGCTATAAAAATAACTTAAATATTTTCTTTATATTATTTACTAGACGCTGAGTACATCCCAGGAGAAATTGTGCAACTATTCAAAACTAAATTTGTTAGTGTATCCAGGAGTAAATAACAGGGCGAAACGAAACATGGTGTCTGGTGACGTAAAAGCAAAAAGTTGATGAAACTGGATAGATTTTTCTTTTAAGCACCTGTCAATTCCGCACCGCTCCGTCACAGCGAGCGTCGCCTACCGCGCGTCTGTGTCGAAATATCGGTAACACAATATAAGCCAGAGCGCTAAAAACCCAATTCCAGGTACTATACTTCTCTCAGTTACTATACTTTTATGGTAAAAATTTTAGTTAATTCAGATATTATAAATAAACTGACTTTTGAATATATTTGAATATTATCAAGAACATCGAAGAGGTATTTAACCTATATGTCCATTTGTAGCATTTTCGCCAGCCCAGTCGTCGTTAATAAATAATAAATTATTTATTAATCAATATTTCGTACCATTTCTAGTATTTACTAATCATGTCAGCAGATCTGGATTTATGGAACTAAAATGATCGCAACAGTTCTGCTAAACGCCTAAAATAGAATCTAGCTTACATTTAGTAATCGTGTATCCAATGACTGCGACATGTTTTGGCCGAGTAATTGATCACGTACGCGTCAGACCTCACTGCACTACGTTACGCTGTACATGTAATTGAATTAATCAAACAGAGACTTACGTCACAATTGTTGTGATTAGAATCATTCGATCACTGTTATGCTCAGTGGAATATTTACAATTTCAAATAAAATAAATTAAACCAATAGCTGCTTAACTTTATGCTCCAAAAGTTGTAGCCATTCCATGACACTTACTTCTAAAATGGCGTGTGAAATTCTAAAAGAATATTTTTTTAAGTTTTTTATATTGATTTTGCTGTGTATTTCAGATATAAAATAAATTGTGCTACACGCTTTGTTAGTAAAGCGGCTGTATAATAAACTTTGTTTATCATCATATTTATGAGCAATACCTTTAAAAAGCAAACTATTTTTTGCTACAGATAGATACAATCATGAATATTGTGGTAAAAAATGAAATGTGTTAATATTAACATAAGTTAAAACATAACAAAATTTAATACTGAATGGTAGGTAATCCTAATGGTGTTCAGATTAACAATTATCGTATTTTTGTTTTATGCCTTTCGATTTACTCAGACAGAGGAAAAGAGGAAATAATGATTTATCATACACAATGTACGCAGCAACACAATGCTGATACATTTACACACATTTACCAGCTGTCGCAGCAGACCGTCGCGAGGGGTCGCTGGACAGAACCGGACCGACAAAAGTTCAATAATATCCTTAACGGCGATCGCATTTGCGAAACAACTTCATATTCGACAATATGAACTAAAGTCCACAGCACAAGAGCTTTCAGTAAAATTGTGAACATGTACTAGAATTTTAATTGAAATCCGTAAAAGAATTCGTCACCGAGGACGCGTCGCCGGACTGATGCCGGAGATTTAATCACGTGTATTGTTTCAGCGCGCCCTTTGAAGCGTGGGATTAAAGAGGATTATTGATTACGTTCGAAACGCCGGGAGGAACGAGTCCTATATTATTAATTCCATAATTGATATAAGCTTATAATAAAATTTCTTGTTATTAAAATTAATTATTTTTCAATATTTCGTTATGCTCTTAATCCTGTCCAATGTTGATTTATAATATGCACATTAGCACACAGCATCATCTAGTTCCATGGTAAGCTACGAGGCTTGTGTTATGGACACCAGATAGTTAATACACTATACATATATTAAACTTTATATACATACATATTATAAATATAAACACCCATGACTGGAGTATAAATATTCGTGCTCATCACATAAATGAATACCCCCAGCGGGACTCGAACCCGCAACCGCTGGCACAGCAAGTAGGGTCACTACAAACTGAGCAAAACGTATCGTCACATTATAAAAAGTTACAACGTATGTATGTAGGATCTGCAAGATGAGTATGCATGAAATGATATTTTAAGAATAAAAGGAGACGTATGTTAGAATTTTAAGAATGGAATGGAATGAAATAGATGAATAAAAGGAAATAAAAATGTTGTGTTATAATGACGACACGACGATTCGCGTCAACATTGCTTTGTATAATTGTTAAAGAATAAATAGTAATTAGTGGTTTAAACGCTTTTATTAATATCCTACAAATTGGGGGCTCGTCCGGGATAACAATAAAAACACTTATTCTATTGAAAAACATAGCTTTGTGATACGCGACGTCATTATCAAAATTCTCTTGATATTTTATACGACGAAGATGTCAAGACAAAGACGTGAAAGACGGGAGATGGAAACCGAGGAGTTCCATGAGGCGAGGTCGCAATCGCCACACATGCTTCAGATGACGGCTGAATTAGTGGCTAATTTTAGTGGTGAAGACGATGCCTACTCCATTGAAAAATGGATAGATGAAGTGGAGTCAAATGCAGAAATTTTTGAGTGGTCACCGCTACAAAAACTTCTAATAGCGCGAAGATCGCTTACCGGGACGGCGGCACTCTGGCTGAAGACTGAGCGACCATATAAAAGTTGGGACGATCTTAAAGCCGCGTTAGTTAAGGAATTTCCGGACCAGCTAGATGCGAAAGCAATACACGAGATTATGAGCGCGAGAAGAAAACGGCAGGACGAGAGCTGCATAAATTATATGTTTGTGATGAAGGAATTAGGTAACCGAGGAAAAATGGAAGATAAAGTAGTTATTAAATATATTATTGACGGAATAAGTGACAAAGAAACAAATAAAATGATGTTATACGAGGTAAACACTTATAGTGAATTGAAGGAAAAGTTGAGAATTTATGAAACAATCTGTACCAAAAGAAGAGAAGCAGAAGGAAGCAGAACATCCAAAAATATCCCACGGATACGATGTTATGGTTGTGGTGAAGCGGGTCATGCTTCGTTGCAGTGCCCACACAAGGATAAGGGACTTAAGTGTTTCAAATGCAATCAATTCGGCCACGTAGTTCGACGTGTAAAAGAAGCGAACCACGATCGGAAGTCAAACTGCATAATCGTAAATCTTCGAGTAACTCCGACCACAGAATACCGAAACATGCCATGTTCGGAGCATCTCAAGGAGGCACAATTACAGTGTCAGATTGTCCTAATACATTAAACGAAGTAAATGAAAATGATATTTTAACTGAAACCTACGTCGTTAAAAACTTAAAAGAAAAAAAATTCGATGACTACGACAGTGACGTAACTGTCATTAGTGAGGTAATGCCAGTCAAAATACACAAACATAATATAGTTTTACAGAAGCCAATGATTACCATAAATATTAACGGACTTAGTTTAAGCGTTCTGGTTGATTCAGGCAGTGAGGTGAATATTATATCCTCAGATATATATGATGCTATCGGTAAACCTAAGTGCAACAAGGATAATATTACTCTTTCCGGCATTGGGTTGTCCACAGTACGTTCTATAGGGAAATGTTATCTAAGTTTTTATGCAGATGGAAATTATTATAGCAATATAGTTTTTCATATTGTATCTAAGAATTATATCCCTTATAATGTAATTTTAGGGCAAGAGTTCTTATCAAATATTACAGTGGTGATGGAACGAGGCTGTGTTAGATTAGTCTGTAAGGAAAGGATGCAAATGGGATGTTGTGTTAATGAATGTTTGCCATCTTACTTCATAGGTCCTATAAGGAATATTAGATTAAGAAAGAAGGTGATGCAGCATGTCAAAAATTACAACCCAAAACAAAGTAAGCAGCATAAGATAATCAGTATAGAAGCTTGTATGATTGTGTTATTGTTGTTATTTTTCACTACTGTAATATTCAACAGATAGTGTCCATTATTTTTCAGAGGTATTTTTAATTTTATGTTTTTACTTTTTTTAATTTTACACTTACATGAACTGGAGGATAAATTATATACGTGGTAAGAATAGTTTGTAGGTTTATTGGTGTTTTCTTTATTTATCTATACTGTTACTATTATAATGTTAGGTTCATAGAAGTATTTACTCAATTCGATAATTGTAATAGTTTTACGTAGAAATTTAGCGTATAATGATATGTCTGAGGGCAGACATTGTTACAGTATGGCCGAGTGTAGGATCTGCAAGATGAGTATGCATGAAATGATATTTTAAGAATAAAAGGAGACGTATGTTAGAATTTTAAGAATGGAATGGAATGAAATAGATGAATAAAAGGAAATAAAAATGTTGTGTCATAATGACGACACGACGATTCGCGTCAACATTGCTTTGTATAATTGTTAAAGAATAAATAGTAATTAGTGGTTTAAACGCTTTTATTAATATCCTACATGTATGTGTGTAGTAAATCTATATTTATGAATAAAATGTCTAATTTCATAACTAATATTTTATGGAAGGTTAAAAAATCTCTCTGTGATTTTACCTGAACTTTAATTGTATAATAATATTGTCTCACACATGGACGCAAGTTCGCGCTACGAGTATATCTCTTCCGGGATGGGCAGAGAAGAAAGAGTTCCAAGCGCTACGATCCCAACATGTCGCTTTCGCTTCCCCCATTGTTATCAGTCTCTTCATACAGTCATGCTCATCAGCGGGTCTTCAGAGTTTTGACGTGACCTTCTATTTATGTATGTATTCTATGGATATTTATTTTGTTACCAAACGAACGATAACCCAGCTGTTTAATATTAGAAATGGAATATCAAAATGTATATAAATGAGAAAAATATGAAATAACAAGTTTAAAAATTGAAAATCTTTAAAAGAATGTGTGAATTCAATAAGATTTCTTTCCCCGCATTAAGCTCCCACTCACATCTGAAAGCATCCAATTAAATTCTATTGCGGAGGCCGGCGCCCGTTCTAATGATCTTCTGCTGGAGATTTATCTGGAAACCGCACTCCCTCGAGCTGTGACCGCGAATTAAATAAGTACTCTAATTCGTAAACTACGGTGAATTCATTCATGGGAAAATATCTTTAAGCCCTTAAATACTTTTTTTAATTTTGATCATAAAACATCTATTAAAAATAAAAAAGCTAATACATATTTTTGTTGCAGATAAACTTCTTTAGGCGTGACTGAGAGGAGTATGTTGCGGAAGTGAAAGTCAAATTTATATTTTTTTAATTATTATTATTTATAAAAATATATTTTTATTATTAATCATTAATAATTATTTATAAATTACTTATAAAAATGAATATTTATTATTAATAATTTTATTAAAAATATTATATTATATTTTGACTTTAACTTTTTGATTTTGATTTTAACTTTTAATTTAATAACGGTATCTGCCACGGCGTCAAAAAAGTTTTACTTCAACCGTGCGTAAAGGTTACACGCACTCATTTTTTATGTTTTTATTTTAAAGTTTCTGTTTTAAAGTTGGCCTTATTATTATTATAAAATTTACATCTAATAACAATCGATATTTTTACTATCGAACCGAATGGTAGCATTGCTCAGAGTGCTACCAAGTTTACCGAATTTGAACTAGTTTAAATTAAAATTGAAGCAAAGATGCTATTTACAGCTCCAGCAATGTTTTAAAAGACTATACTTTAGAAGCGAGAGAGCAAGGCGAGAGTTTCGAGGCTTTGTTGCATAATGTATAAGAACCGAAAAGTGTTCCTACTCGTTATTCAGAGGACAGATGTTAGTGGAATAATAAAAACACACACCGGTAGGAGAGAATTTTCGCGCAAACATATTACAGTATGTAATAACAGGCAAAAATACACCCAAGTTTTATCTTTTGAGAGTAGAAAGAGGGGAAGTGTCGGCTTAACGTCATGTTCACTTCCATTTTCTTTGTTTTTCCTGATTTTGTAAGCAGGTGTTGATAATATTTCATCTAAAATACAAATTGGTCGATTGACAGCTATTAGGCATTTTAATATTACAGTTGGTTTTTGAATCAAGTTTCAAGTTGGAATTTCACGTACAAACATACTAGATATAAGCACACATTTTCAAAAAAAGGTTAAAACTGGATCCGATCGACAGATGAAACGCACTGCTGACGACAACAGCCAATTAGCGGTTAATATAAACAAGGAAACATAAATAAAGCAAACATTGTTACATAGGTACTGGTACATCCTCTTATAATCAGTTTTGGATTTAGTTTTGAAAACACATTTTATGGTCATTTTGCTTCAACATCATCCTCGTCATTTATGAAAATATAGAGCGACATATTATTATGTGCATATTACAAATTAATTTTAGTGAACATTTTAAATGAAACTATCTTTTCGGATTATTTCGCGGATTTATTTTGATTTTTGGTTCCCGACGTTTCGAATGCTTTACAGCATCCATGGTCACGGGAGAGACTGAGGTGTTACATGTCTTGAATGTATAGTTGTTACAGACAGCTACCCACAATTAACAAAATGAAAAATGCACCAATTACCTTACAATATTTTTAACTTTAAACATTTTTATAATTTTAATTAGTTTTATAATTGAATATGGAATATTATTTATTTAATTTTTGCTGTTATTCTTATAATTATTACAATTTTAAAAATATTCATTAGTAATCTATTTAGTATTGCCATTATTATATTTATAACCATAAAGAAAAATATAAAATATAGTATTAATTATTTAAGCCATATAACTGTTCTATGTGTAATTTAAAAAGTTAAAATTAATTAAGGATAATAATTTGAATTTAGTTTGCTATTATTTAAAAAGACTACTTACTAAGCAACACTATTACTATATACTTTTACAAATGAACAATGAAAAATATTAATCTGATTTGCTGTCATTTTGATCTACACAGTAAGAACTCAGTCTCTCCCGTGACCAACGATGCTGTAAAGCATTCGAAACGTCGGGAACCAAAAAGCAAAATAAATCCGCGAAATAATCCGAAAAGATAGTTTCATTTAAAATGTCAAATATTCGCATAAATCTAAGAAAGTATTAATTTTAGTGAATTAAAATATATTAAATTAAAAAAGGCAGCTTTATTTTTATTCATTATTTATTTATTGGATTCACCACTTACAATTACAATGTTACAGTTTATTATTATGTAGGTACGAGTACAACGGTTCTTATACCTAAATTCATTACCTCTTAAGGTAATAAGGTAAATACCACATGCAAATATGGATTTTATAAAATATTTACATTATATCTATATTACTTCAATAATAAATTAGTATTATAAACTATTATATTTTTTGCATTTTTTTGGATCCAAGGTGCTTTGATTATCAAGAATATTACAAAAACGTGACTATGACTGATTACCTAAAACTACTATTCTACAAAAGCAAAGTTTATTTTTATGAAATATTATTATAAACTGGGGATATAAGAACTTTAAAAATATAAAATAATAACCAACTTCAAAAAAAAGAACAGAAAAGTAAAAAATAACTGATTGGTAGTTTTCATTTATTATGGATACCTAATCAAATATTTTCGAAGTCAGTGTGCTTTGATTTGTATCGGTTTGAAAATATACAAGCCACTAGAAATGCTCACCAAAGCCACAACAAACATTTAATTATAATAGAAAGAGGTAATTTTAGTGTTGCCACACGATATATGCCAACTTCTAAATCTCTTATGAATCTCGTCGGAACTTATATCAAAGTTCGAGCTCTCGCTTTTCTCGCATTCACGTTACACGAGATTGCAGAAATCAGACGCCAGCGTCCTTTACTACGCACGAGCTGTCATTCCGCGAACTTGTATTACCCATGATTGAATACCACTTTATATCAACTAGGATTTGTTTCTTGTTTAATTTTTTTATAAACCTCTAGTGACTTACTCTCACTTTGCTTTTATGCGTCCCTAGTACCTTTTGTAATTGTAATAATATACACTGTACAGTATACAGGTAATGTTACCTTGTATCAAACCTTAATACCCACCCTTAGTTTATATAGCTAAAAAAAGTAAAACTTATACTTTTGCCAAATCCTTTCAGCAGTACAGAAGATGTACTGCGCCGACCCCAAGTGATTGGGAAATGGGCAGGGAGAAGAAGAAGAAGAGTTTATATAGCGTGTTACTTCTGTTCAAAGTCAATCTGTGTAAGCGTAGCGAGGTTGTCACTAGTTTTCAACATAGAGTGTGATACTAAATTGGGCTTCTCGTTATGAGGCGGATATGGCCCTTGGTAATAGAAACATGCATTTCGGTAGTCTTTTTGCATCAGGTATTAGCACGCCAGGGCGTAGTGTAACACTTGTTCCATTAGAAACAATCATATAGTACTAGAAATGTCTATTCTGTCTGAATCTCTTACGTTTATATTGGTAAATATGTAACATAAACAGCGTGCAAGTAGATTCACACATAAATACTTATCCACTGCCTATTTCTACAACTTACGTCAAAACGGAAATGTTATAACATGTCAAAACCTCCGGACACCATCATTCTTATTAATCTAAGCTTTAATCAAGATAAATGCTATGTCTCTACTGTCAACGCTCTCGGAGCTTTCCAGTTTGAACTTATAAAATATTGTCGTAAACGTATTAAGTTGGGTTTTGATTTTGTGTTGGATAATGGATGTGTGTTTTTACTTTCTTATATTTGTATATCACTTCCTTTACTGTTTTAATTTTTAAATGACATTACAATTAACTACAATTAAATGGTCATCATTACATACTATATATTAAATCTCGGGACGATTTTTTGTTTGTTTGAGCTAATCTCAGAAAGTATTTTCATGCGGTTTTCACAAATAGCAAGAGCCATTACCTAGTAAGGTTAGGCTAATTTTTTTATACCTTCTTCAAAAATGATCGGCCAGTATCGTGATATTTTTGATATGAATCGGAAAAAA